ACGTGCAAGAGCCACTCACTACTCATTCATTCATTATATTTTCAACAAAAAAAAAAAACAAAAAATTTCCGTTATTCTTCTCTTTCATTCAAGTACAGTCCAATTGAAAAGCGCTATTAATATTTTTATTTTGAAAATCAAACTAAATTTTCTTTTTGTCATACTTACTTAAAAAATTTTTTATTCTATTATTTTAAGTCAAATATTAGCCGATATATTAAGAATATAATGAGAATTAAAATAAATTTTACATTTTATTTGAAAACTATTATTTGTATAAAGAAATTGTTAAATAAATTTTTTTGATTAATTGTGTTTGTTAATGTTATTTCAATAAATGTCAATCGAAATTGAGGTTATACTCAAATTTTAATATTAACTATTTCGAATTAAAAAAAAAAAAAAAAACCTTAAAGTGCAAAAATTTACTCGGATTCTGTAAAAACTCTTTTATGTTTATATACTAATATCATTATTGTTTTGACAATTTTACGCATCAACTTCAAATAAAAATGTATTTTTATTCCTTTTCGAAAAGCGCTTAAAATATTCATATTATTCATACATGGGTATGTTTACATAAATGTAAATAGTGTAAATTCATACTTATTTTTTTCATTCGTACTTATACGTATAGAAATATTTAAATTAATTATTAGAACTGAATAAACAATTATTGTTATACGCTTACAAATAGTAAAAATAATGCAAAATAACTAATATGTTATTTACACCCATACAAATTAAATAATAAAAAGTATGTATGTACATATTTATTTAGAATTTACGTCAGAAACTATTCCAGGTAAAACATTTATTTTCTTTATATTCATTTTATTTTCAAAGACAGAAACCATATGATATTTTACTTTTTTATTGAACTGTACTTAAATATAACGATCACTTTTTAAAAATTTTTAAATTTAAAATTTTAAAAAATGTGCTATAATTATAAAAGATTTCCAGTAATTTGAATACAAAATTTTAATATTTGTATAACACATTTTATATAATGAATTATAAAAATAAGTATACAAAGTAAAATTGAATTCGCATTTGAAAACTATTAATAGTTAAAAATGTAAGAAAAATAATGTGAAAATATGTGTATATACATACATACTTATATACTCATTATCATATAGGTAGTATGTTCATGTCAGTAGGCAAGAAAGTATACATACATACATATGTATGTATATATAATGACATGTTATTTTTATGAATGTTTACAAGTAGATATCTTTCAAAAGTACATTGACTGCTATATTTTAAAAATTTCTTTTTTTCAACTATTAATTTATGTAATTACATATATACAAATTTAAAAATCCTAAGTATGTTTGTACGAAAATGTGCATGATTATATTATGTACACATGTACATACTTATATACCATTCGACATACATACATATATATACATGTATTGTAAGTGAAGTTTAACAATTATTGTAATTACATAAATAATAAATTTTATAACAGTTGTATAATTATTACTTTTTCATTTCTAAAAGAAAATATAACATGCTACAATGCTCATACTAACATAATTTTTAGAGTTTTATAGGTATACAAAATGTTTGAATTCAAAATTTAATTTTTTACATTTTTTTAACATATTAATGTACATTATATTAATGCCTTATAATTTTATTAATAATTATTATTTATTATAAGATGGAGTTAAAAATAAACAAGAATGGGAATGAAATTTTAAGATTAGGCTAATTAATTTATTGAGTACGTATTGGTTATGTATGTATTAATGTACAATTCAATATTCATATATGTATGTATTTAAAATGTTACCAATTACTTAAACATATTATTTTTGTTTTATAATAATTATTAATAAGTACAAAAATTGTATGAATGTATGAACGTATATCAGTTACAAAATAGGTTGTTAAGTAGGTTAAGATAGAAAAAAGTATGTAAAGTATATGTATACACTTATTATATTAATGTTTTATATAGTTTGAAAAGTAATAGGTATTAAAATAAATATGTATATGTATATATGTACATGGTTGTGCAGTATTTTATTTTCAAATCTTCTCTTTTGACAATCTACATATCTATAAGTAATAATTTTACAATAAGACAAAATATTAAAGCCTAGAGAAATATTATATCTTATTTATTTTAAGTAAATACATACATATGTGTGTATATACAAATGTATATACTTATCTGATTCGTTATGATGTATGTAAGTAAATATCATTATTATTTGTCATAATATCGACAGATATACAATTAAAAATATTTATTTCAAAAATCAAAAAAAAAACAAAAAAACAAAAAAAAACAGGAAAACAAAAGAAAATAAAGCGTTGTTGCGAGATTATGCGTACGTTTGTAATCTTTTTAAATATTAATTTAAACATAAAAAATAACATAATGTCAATTACATATATTCATAAATATGTATATTAATATGTTTGTTTCTACAAATATAGTAATTTAAATACATACCTACATATTTATTTATGCATTTAAATGTAGCAAATTTTTTTTTTCGTTCACTTTCTTACATAATTATGCACCTAAATATATACTTTATACAAACATGCATGCATGTACATACATACATATATGCCTATCTATCATTATATAAATATGACATTTCAAAAAAAAAAAAAGTACCAACTACTGTATAATTAACATACATTTTGTACGCAGTAAATTTAATACATACATACATATATATGTACATGTATGTATGTATGTATATACATTCATATATTCATTGTTATATTCGCTATTAAAATACATACATATGTATACATGTACATTGTGTACATACAAAAATACATTTTTTTATTTTAATTAAAATAATATAAAAAGGTATGAACATTACATAAATATGTATGTAATACATTATGTAGCAACAATATTAAACGTCAAATAAAATATACCTAAAAAAGGATATTGAAAAAAAAATTTTTGTTTTTAAAAAAAAATGTTTTCTGTTTCTCTTCTCCCGTACACAAATGTAACTAACTGTAAATCTCTCAAAAAACAAACGACAAAATAAAAAATCAGAAATCAAAAATGGTTAATGGTTATACAAGTAAGTGGCATGCTAATTAATTTTTTTTTTAATAAAAAAAAAAAATAGCCTAGTATGGAAAACAATTTTCATTAATTTTAAATATTAATGTGAAATATTTTTAAAAACAACAGTTGAACTACATTACATTTTGTACATTTTAATAACATTACATTGTACAAATTTCTCTTCATTTTGTAAAAAAAATATTGCCTTAATATTAGTATACAACTATTGTATGTACATATGTATGTATGTATGTAAGTATTTAATATCTCTTTTTGATTTTATATTTTGCCTATGAATTTATAATAATATTAAGTTAATATACCAACAATACAAAATTATTGAAACCTTACAGAATTTGTAATCGAAAAATCAGAAAAAAAAAAAAAAAACATTTTTTAAATAAAACGAACATAAAAATTTTGATTTTTTTTTTTCTCATTTTTTCTGTTTTTATTTAACAAAAGCATATTTTTTTTTTCATTCTTGCTGCCTGACTTTGTAGGCACAATTTTTTCAGTTAAAAAAAAAATAAAACAAAACATAAAAAAAGAGAAAAATATAAAATTTATGTTTTCTACTACATATCATCATCGTCATATAAAAAAATGTACCTACTATACCTACTGACTGCTTATATTAGCCAACAACCAAACCAACTAGAGCCACACTAAATACACTCTAAATACATTCAACTTATCAATCGTACTGTACACGAAATAATTTTTTTTTTTAATACCGAATAACGAAAGTATGAAATTCTCTCTTTCCCCAAAAAAAAAAAAAAAAAATAAGCACAAAATAAAAAATATTCAAAATGACAAGATAAAATTAAATTTAATACAAGAAAAAAATGTTATAAAAATTTGAAAACTAAAAAATCCCAAAAAAAAAATTTTTTAATTCAAAAATAATTTTTATTTGAAAATGCTGTATATACTTTGACATATTGATGACAAATAAAATTAATTTTTTGTTTTAAAAAAAAACATTAAAATTGACTTAAATCTCTCCTTTTTTTTTCAATTTTTAACCAGATTTGAATTTCTGAACAAAAAAAAAAATAATGGTATAAAATTTTTTGTGATTTCTACGATATTAGAGAAAAATTAAAATATATGCTTCATACATTCTGCCTTTAACAAAAAAAAAAAAAAAAATAGAAAATATTTTTGGCGCCATTTTCTAATTTACAAAAAAATTTCATTAAACTTAAAAAATTATTAATACCAAATTAAAGATTAAATTATTTCTGATTTTTTATAGAAGACCGTATTAAAATTGCTTGTATAATTATCGAGAAATTTGAATTTTAATTTTACTCTTCATATAAAACTCAAGTGATGCTTCTATAAAGCCATTTTGCTTATACAAAAAATTTTTCATATTATAATATGAAAAAGCATTTTAGTATTGAATATATACAATATATATATTTTTTTTTTTGTTCAGCTTTATACCTTTTCTATACTAACATACAATATATTGCTTGCTTGCTTTATTTTATATGCCACCATATTATGGCTGCTCAGTATTAAAATATAAAAAAAATTTTTCTTCTATACATTGGTAATTGTTTGAGAAAAAATTTTTTTTCATGATGACGAAAACACAATTAAGTCGTAATTTATTGATTTTCTATTTCAAAATTAATTAAACTTTTATTATAATTAAAAAATTTTTTTAAACACTTTCACATTTATAAAAAATTATTAAATAAAATTTTAACAAAATTTTCAACATCAAAATTTCATATGAATTTCAAAGAAATTATATGAAAAATGTCTGACAAAATTTTCTATAGAAAACCCACGCCGTATACGGTTGTAATTTTTTAAAAAATTTATATAATAATTCAATAATAATTTTTGATTTATTTTAAAAATAAAATTCTTAAATGTTTAATAAACATTTTATAGAAGAAAATTTTTTACTTACCAGAATAAATTTTTTGAGAAATTTATATTTAAAAAATGGCCACGAAAATACTTTTATATTAAATAAATTTTTTCCTTTATAAAAATTTTTTCCTTTATAACTTTGCTCAAACTCACTGTTCCACACTGTTTGTATATTGAATTGAGAATTCACTTCACAAAAATATCTTTTGAACAGCAACACAGAAAATTTCTAATATAAAAATTTTTATATTGAAGAGCAGCACATACATGCATGTATAACAAAATATATGTGTATAGTTATAATTATTATATATAATATATATTTCTCACTAGTACTAGAGCTCTTTTTGCTGAAGTAACTTTTCTTTACACAAGCTGAAGCTGAAATATAGATAGTAGATACAATACAACAATGTATAATGTACAAGCAAACAACTAAACACGAATATATTTCAATATGATATGATGTGGTCGTTGTACACTGAATTGAAAATATACTGAGTTATATTGTTTGTTGGCTGCCTTTTACTCTATTCTGTATACATATAATATTTTGCTTTACATTTGCTTTGCTTGTGAATATAATTTTTTTTTTAACTCCTCAACAAAAATTTAATACTCAGTCAAAAGCAAAGCGTATAGATTTTTTGTTGTTTTGTTTTTTTCATTTATATGATATTATACAAAAACAACAACAGTATTTATATGAAAAATACAAGAGCAACAACAACAACAATAACCTATTACAGAACAAAATAATTGGTATCAGAGCTAAAGCTAAAGTATACCAAAAAAAGTGAAAAAATAACATACAGTAGAATATTAGTCTACAGTCTCTCAACAGAGTACAATGTGCTCAAAAACTGTAGAATAAAATTTTTGATATAAAAATACAATAAAAACAACAATTTCAGAATAAAATTTTTATATAAATGTAGGTACGATGTTGTCGTCGTAATACTGTAATAATATTAAAAATGAAGCCAGCACAGCATATTACTCGTATAATATTATGTAGTACTATGCTGGTAATATGTATAGAAAAATAGAAATTTGTTGAGTAAAAAATAAATGGGATTAGAGTATACAGTATTTTATTACAGAAAAGTACAGTAGAATAAAATTAATTTTATGTATGTGTTATTTTCCTGTATAAAGGCAAGAAGGCAAGCTGTACCATATAAAACAACAGAATAAACAAAATAAATAATAAAAAAAAAATATGTATTAAAGCATAGCAGAACAGAATATCGCATACAAAATTATCTTATAATGATATTTTATTATGAATAAGAATACCACACGTAATAATTTGCTTATATAAAAGGAGTTTGTTTTAAAACAAGTGAGTTAGGTTATTGAATTACTACTTTAGTTAATTTGCTAATATTATATGTATATTTTTTTTAATTAAATATTGTTTAATTAGTCAGTTTTAATATCAATAGAAATTATATTTAATTTGCATACCTATACCTACAAAGATATCAAAATGTTCTCAGCTTTCTTTTGAAATAAATTGATTACTACTGTGACACTTCAAATTTGGAAATAATGAAGAGGCTATAGATAAGAAAACTCAGATAACAAAACTTTTTCATATATGATCACAGCGCGCCTGGACAATTTTGAATCTGATCAGATTTAATTTTTTGTTTAAAAAACGATCGAAGGTTTTTCCTAATTTAAAACTAAAACCTCTGACAATACGTAATAAATATATACATAAGTATATTCTTCCACTTTGTCACTATTAGAATAATTCACCAAATAACGCACTTTAGGACATACATACGTGCATGTGTAGTTAAAATGTACCGCAAAAATAGTTTTGTATAATTATAAATTCTTAACCTTAAAATTATCTATACATTTACATATATGAATCGTATATTGTGTATTTTTTAACTTTACGCACTTTTTCTATTTTGCAACCCCTTTGGCTATCTTAATTTTCTTTTAGAAAGCAGCATAAATCTACAAAATACAAACAATTTTTCTTTTTATACAAAATAATATCGAGTTAAAAAATAATAATAAAAAGGTGGAAAAGAAAAATAAAACAGCAAAAAAAAAAGCCAAGAAGAAGCAAATGGCAAAAAACTTGGCTATAGCTGGAAATAAAATTTATTTTATATGGTAATGAGAAAAATAAATGAGAGCTAAGCATTCACATACATAATATTAATTATACACAATTTACAACATAAGCGTTAAGTAGTTGGTACGTACTTACTAAGTATTGTTGGCTCGTCGTTGTAAAATACAAAGGGGACAGAACAACATAATTTTTAACGGGCCATAATTTTTTGTATGAACACAGAACAAATGCGTATGCTTATATGTATGAATAACTTTATATTGCTCTACAGGAGAGTTTAATCATTATCAAGGTTGCCATATTCTTTCTACTTCTTGTTTTTTTTTAATTTTTTAATTGTACGACAAGCTTATTTGTGCAGTACATTCATGTCATTGTTACAATTTTGAACATACTAACTTTATTCACGATTATTAGTTTTTAGTTTAAAATTATCAGTATCGTATTGTCATACAGTGTCTGATTGTTTCCACGTAAAGTACAAATTTTATTATTATCGCCGAATATGTATTTAAGTATGTTTGTATTTATTTTATAGCTGTGTGAACACGCCATATTGGAAATTGATGAGAAACCGCAAATTAACAGGCGTTATCATTATAATATTCTCACATTCTCTTTAAAAAAAAAAGGTAACCAATCTTTTATAAAATTTTTAATGGCACTGGAATGAACTGACTAATACGAAAGTTGTTCATTTTCTGCAGCATAATTTAATAACTGCTAGGAAATACTTTATTTACACGAGCATAAATTAAGCGGATCATTAAAATTGAGATATTCAATAAGTATAAATCCTTTTATATTTTAAATTATTTTCATATTTCTGGCAACGCTAATAAGCTTCTTTAATATTGCCGGCTTTTTTTTCATTGTTCAAATAAAGGAACCCTTGCCAATCTGTTATAGCTGTTAAATTTTCATTTCAATAATTTTTTGCCTTAATAATATTATTTCTTGCGCTTTTACCCTTAAAATAATGTTTGGGAACAATCATGAAATATTATAAGCATATTTGTAAAAACATCTTCACATAATATGAATAGGTTTACTTGGATTGTGTATGTAATATAATACAAAACCCAAGCACTATAACTGGAATATACAGCAAAATGATTATTATGATGGCAGTATTGAATAATTTTTTTTTCAAATATCTACCTTCTGTTATTAAATACGTTTAGCTTGTTTTTCATACACTTACTTTACTTACTGGTATTGTGACAAACGATACTGAATTATACGCTTTACCTACCATATTTTACACTTTATATTTTTGTATCGTTTATTCGAATTAAATCCGTCATATAAAAGTGCATAAGCGAATACATTTAAAATTGGCACTATTCAATATAAAAATAATATGTAAGTACATGAGTATTTATATATGTATGTATGTATTCATTCCATATGTACATATATTTTACGTGCACATTTCAAATATCCATTTAAGGGTTATGTCACATTTGAATAGAAACGATTTTTTTTTTGGCGCCAAATGAAATTTTGAAAATTTGTTGCATACATGCATACTCGTGCTTACATACCTACGATCAGTAAGATTCTTTGCAATACCTAAAATATCGAAATAACTAGATTTTATTAAAAAATGAATTTTGAAATTAAGTTGAAAAAATTACGTTCATATTGTATATAATTTAATTTTTGTCTACAAACCGATTAATTTGCATGTGCATTTACATGTGTATGTACATATGTACCTACATAACCTCAATTAATATGTACCTACGTATATACATAACCTCAATTAATAGCAAAAATTTTCGATTTAATCAATTTGTCGTCGAGAGTTTACTTTTTTTTGCTCAATTTTATTATCGAAGATGTAAGGCAAATTAAACAACAAAATTGTTAAAAGTACCTGATATCCAGAAGCGATTAGTGGAAGCAACCACAAGTCATTTTAACAAATGCCAATTTGACATTACAAAATTTGTTTTGGCTATTTGTATTCATAATAACAAATTTTCAGCGCTTCACGATGATCTATGTACTGGGGAGACTTAATTACCGGCGTTTGTAAGTATATTTTGGGTCTGCAGAATTTACGAACCAAAATATCATCTATACGTGTAGACATGTTTGTCCGTTAGTGTATGCACGTTATCAGTGATTTATTGTAGCCCGGACATTCATTTTTACGCTCCTATTCCTTCACTAATTTCTTTATTATTTTCTACTTTTTTTTTAATCTAATTGCTAAAATTATTTTTCTAAAAAAGAAACATGGTTTTATAATAATTGTTAATTAACTAAACATTAACAATACGAAATGTTTCAGTTTTCTCAGAAATTATAAAAAATTTAATATTTTCCAAGTAAATTTAAATTTTTATATGCAGTCTGCCATTTTTGTCTATATTGATCGATATTCACAATGTATTTTCATTAAAACTATAGGCCTTATTTCTCTGTAAATTAGTGTAATGTCATGATTTTGGATTTTAAAAATTGAAAATGTAATAAAAGAAATATATGTATGTCGTGTAAAGAGTATTCTGAAGATACTCGTCATTCGTTAGCTGTTACTGTTTTTTACTCAATATTCTAAAAAAAAAGTGTTACCATAATTTTCTGTTAGTCGATTGAATGACAAAAACTATAAGAAAAGTTTATAAAAGAATTATAGTGAATTTCCTCAAAAAAGAAAAAAAATCGTTCCAAAATAGTTAACTTAGAGCTCAGTCAGATATGCGATTTTTAGTTTTGCTACTATTCGATTGCTTATTTGTATTCCATTTCATAGGTCTATATTCTAGAGCGCACACATGCAACTGTATGATCATATGTAATTCAGCTATCAAACAGTTTATAATTTTTTAAAAATTGATTATAATTTTTGGTTAACGGAAATTGACGCAATGGTTTAGTTGTTTAGATGTGTACGCAACGATTTTAAAATGACGTAGTAATTGCAAAAATTTCATGTCTGCCTGATTCCTTAATTATTTTTAATTAAATTTTAGTTTTATTAACAAAAATTGTTTTATACATTTTATGTATGTAATTAAAAATTTCATGATTTTAAATGGATTGTGACAATATCAAATATTTTTGCTCAGAATATAAGACCATTTTTACTCCCGTTTTTTGATTAACGCAACGGTGACATTTTTAATTTCTAAACCATCTATAGCATTTTTTGCCAAATCATCTAAATTTTAGCAAAATGTTAACTAGAAATCAATTATTCTGGTTATACTATAAACAAATTTTATGTATTATGTTTAAAAGCTACATAATTATACTAAAAATCGCCTAAAATATAAAAATGAACGAGAAAGATTACATTAACATTAACCCCATACAAACAATAATGCCAAACACAAACAAAAGCAAAATATAAAATGT